GAAGAGGGCACCAGATCTCATTACAGATGGTTGTGAGCCACCATGTGGTTGCCGGGAATTGAACTCAGGACCTCTGGAAGAGCAGCCAGTGCTCTTAAGCGCTGAGCCATCTCTCTAGTCCCTTGGATCTATTTTTAAGACAGGGTTTTGTGTAGGGTAGGCTGCCTGGAACTTCCTCCGTAGCCCAAGCTGACCTCAATGTGATCCTTTGGCTTCAGCCTCTTGGGTACTCAAGAGACTGGCATATGCCACTGTGCCCAACTAGAATGGTGGAATGGCGACTCAAGAGCATGTTCAGGAGTTCTTGGCGGGACTGGGGTAGGAAATCAGTCTTCCAAGTGCTGGGATTAAAGGCCAGCCTGGGCTACAAAGTGAGTTCCAGAACAGGCCCAAAACTACACAGAGAAACCCTGTCTCGAAAAACAAAAAATAAACAAACAAAAAGGCATATGCCATCACCGCCTGGCCAGGAATCAGTCTTTCAGTGCAGGAGGATTCCTGACTCATTTGGGAGTGTTCTGCTTACCCAAACACCAGAAATGCAAAAAAGATGAACCATTTAGCAGTTTTCAGGTTAGACAGACTAGGTTCACAACAGGGAGGGGACAGGAGGCATGGGGGGGGCAGGAGGCATGGGGGCAAGGTTTACCGACTGCAGGTAGAGGCTGTGAATATTCCGGAGGCACTCTAAATTCCTGATAGAAGTAATCCCTTCCCGATCTAGGCGCACAGTCTCCAGTTCATCCAGAGTACAAAAGCTGGAGAGAGTAAGCAAAATGGGTAGATAGCCCTCCCCACCCCCCCACCTGTGGCCTCTCGGTGGCCGATGGGAGGGAGCGGGGAGAAGAAGACATGTCTCAAGGAAAAGAAGGGGACGGAATGGTTTTGATGAGACGTCGAGAACAGCTGCTTGACCCAGGTAGTGGTGTCTAGGTCATGAGACTGGCTAGTCTCAGACACATGGTTCTCTTGGTGGAACTGAGAAAGAGCAGAGTGGAAGCTGACAAGGGCCCTCTGGATAACTGGTGGGTGGCTGCCACAGTCCCTGGAGATTCAGGACAAGAGAAGCCTTCCTTGATCAGTTTGGATGGTGGAGGCAGGGTGGGGATAGATGAAGAAATACTCTCATTTCTTCTGGAAGAATCTTCCTCACTCCCTTTTGAGTCACCCACGGAGGGGAAATCAGTTGTCCCATTCATACCTTCAGTATTTCCAAATTTACGGAGGACCCTCCAGGCAAATGACATAGGTCCTTGCCCATCATTATCAGGGAAGCCAGGCAAACATCTGTGGCCAAGTGGATGCCAACGGCAGGTACAAAGAAATAAAGTGGTTACATGGGCTGTGTACCAACTCCAGAGTGGAGGAACCAAGAGCAGCTTCCTAGAGGAGGTGACCAGTGGGCAGGCCATGGGCAAGGGATCGGGACAGGGCATTTCAAGCAGAGCATGCATGTGCTAATCTAGTCTGTCTTGAACTTGAATGTGCCTGTGAATCCTTTGGGTACCGGAAGATGCAGATTCTAATTCAGTCGGTCTGAGATGGGTATCTTTTTTTCTTTCTCTTAAAGCCAGGGCTTCATGTAGTAGCCCAGGGTGGCCTCAGACTCACTATGTAGCTGCGAAGGATGGTCTTGAACTTCTGATCTTCCTGCCTCTACCTCTTGAGCGCTGAGATGACACCAAGGCCAGTTTTACATGGTGCTCAGCACTCTGTCAGGCGAGCTACATCCCCAGTGGAAAGTCTCCATTTCTAACAAGCTCTTGGGTGGTGTCAAGCTGCTCTCACTTTTGAGCAACAAGGGGCAAGAATGCAGTGTGAGAAATTGCACGCTTTTAGAGTGTGGAAAGATTTTTGGTTCTCGCTGTTTGGATTTTATTCTGGATGTAATGGGTTGCTGAGGAAGTTTCTACCAGGGAGTAATTAGATTTATAGTGTATAAAGATCACCTGGGCAACAAGAGTGTGGGGAGGCCAGACTGAGGACTGAACAGAGAATTTTTGAGTTTGCTACAGCATTCTCTAAGGCAGGTGAGGATGACGAGAAAAAAACCATCTTTAAGAAGTAAAAAGCATACAGAGAAACCCTGTCTCAAAAAAAAAAAAAAGGAAGGAAAACCAAGTGGGAAGTACTACTGATTGGAGTGTGGAGTAACTAAAGAGACAAACACGATTTACAAAATCATACAGCTCAGCAAACCCAACATCGGTGCTTTCCTTCTCCACTCACATCTTTTCTGACAGGTCTTCATCCTCAGGGAAGGTCAGGTTCCTCTTGGTGATCAGGGCTTCGGTAATGCAGACTTCCCCTTCCTCTGTACCCTGAGCAGCGTTCTTAGCTGTGAAAAGACAAGCCTCTTTTCGTTTGCCTTCATTCTTGGGAGACCTGACCTGACTGTCGTCCAACTGTTCTACACGCCAACTCACCTTCCTGCTCGCCTCCTGGCATGACCTAAAACAAAAAGCGGCTGATTGAGGCAGGAGACAGACGAAGGGGAGCAGAGAAGCTTAGAGCCGGCCGGTTGGGATGACGGCGCCCAGCTTGGAGAGAAGACGGGAGGGAAGACGGAGGAGGAGGCAAGGACGGGGATGGCTGGTTCAGAGGCAGTTGCTGGGGGTGCGGTGGAAGCCGGAGTAAATCAGAGCGAAGGATCTGGAGTGACAAGTGTGTGGCGTGGCTTTACTGGTCGCAAACTGGAGACCGGAAGGATGAGAAGAACGGTCCCTCGCAGGCTCGCGTCGTTGCTAGGAGACTGGACGCCAGCTCCGCCGGACGGGCAGGCGTGGGGGCGGGCACCACAGGCCCGACTCTACGCATGCGGCTGGCGGCTCCATCCGGCGGCTCTCCTACTGGTTCCGGCCCTGGGCTTTCCTTGCTGCCCCACAATCCCTAGCTCCTTCCGCCTCCGCGCCGCGCTCGTGGGGACTTCCTGTAGCGATGGCTGCGGCGGTGGCGGGGAGGCTCCGAGGAGGTCTCCCGCCCCGGGCGGGTAAGGAGAGGCCCCGGGCCTCGCGGCGCACGGGCCGGCGCTCTCTGGCCCCCGCCCCTCCCTTCCCTCTGACCTTTCCCGTAGCCTGGCAGCTCCCGGTGACCCTGCCGCTAGCCGGTCTCCGATTTGACCGGATCCAGTGCCCGGTGACATCCCCTCCATCCCCGCACACACCCAGGCAAGGACAGCAACGGCGTCACGGACCACAGTGTTTATTTCTGCTTTGGATTTTTTCTAACTCTTCGCTCGGTTCTTGTCCCCGACCCTGGAGCGTCCTTGCTGGGGTTTTAATATATTGTTTCTTAAGGTCAGCGGAAACTCAGCCTCCGCGGATCTTCTCGCGTTATAAAGCAGGTTCCTCAGTGAAATCTTTTGCTTGTACCCTGTTTATTGGCACCCCCGCTCGGTCAATTCTCAGTCTAGTTTTACGTTTTGCCCCGGCGCCTGTCTTCGACTGTGAAACCCCGATGGAGGGACGCACTGTGTCCATTCATCTTGGCTAGTCGGTGGCGTTAGGCATTCAGTGAGTAGATTTGACACCGTACCGTAGTCCAGGGATTGTGGTTCTTGTTTTACACTCACTGCCTGGTTTACATCTTACAGCGAACGCACCTTGGGAAGAAGGCACTATGAACCCCTCGTTACAGATAAGCACACTGAAGTTTGGACCAGTTCAGTGCTGGGGCAAAAAATAACACTAATAATATGCAGAGCCGGGCTTAAAACCCAGTTCCATCTCATTCCCAAGGCACTCTTAACAGGTCTTGTGGCTAGTAGCCGTAAAACCTCTTACCCTGGTAATCTAACATAGTCTCCAAGAGTCTTCTAGCTGATCCTTTTCCAGCCGTACCTGGAAACTACAGTGTTGGTCTTTTTGTTGGGGATGAAAGAGTCACTCTGGCTCAGGGCTTCGGAGTGTTTCTTTGGTTTCTGAGAGAACCTTTCAAGCTTTTCTTGTCATCAGAATGTGCCATTGGGTCACACAAAGGTCAGAGGACAACTTGCATGAATCTTTTCTCCACTATGGGGGGACCCAGGGGATTGAGCCCAAGTCATCAGGCTTGGCAGTAAGTGCATTTACTGTACTGGACGAATCATCTCCCAGACCCTCCATTTTGCTTTTTGAGTCAGGGTCTCACTGCTGATGTTGGCCTTGAGCTCCTAATCCTCCTGCCTCTATTTCCTAGGAGCTTGGATTACTGGTGTTCACCCCCATGTCTGACAGGAAGAAAGACTTGTTTGGGAGGGTCGTGAGGGTGGTGTAATGTGTCTCTCCTCCCTCTTGCTTCAAGTCCTAAGGGCAGACCTCAGGCTCGGGGTGTGTGTGTGTGTGTGTGTGTGTGTGTGTGTGTGTGTGAAGCCATGCATTTTACCAGAAGGACTTCTTAAACACAACTAGCTGGACTCTGCTCCAGAGTTGCTGATTTCGAAGGTCTAGGGCAGGCATGAGAGTGTATTTCTAGATGAGAGTGTATTTCTAGCAAGTTCCCAGATGAAGCTGATGTTGGCTTGATCCAGGGGCTTGTCCTCCAAGAACTGCCGCTAAGACCGAGGATTGACATTTACAGTAGAGCTGGTCACAGTGTCGCTTTTTTTCTTCTTCTTATTGCTTGCTGGGGAAGAAGGGACCTAGGGCTTGGCACCTACACCAGTTCTGCATCTCCCAGCTGCAGTCCCAGCCCCTGATGACTGTTTCATGAGCAGAGTTTTACTGGAGCATAGTCTCATCTGTTTATGTATTAGTTGTGACCTTACTGGTTTTGGTTGGTTGGTTGTTTTTTTTTTTTTTTTTTTTTGTACATCTTATTTATTTATCTTGGGACTGGGTCTGACTATATATCCCCAGCTGGCCTGGAACTCACAGAAAATCCACCTGCTTCTGCCCTCCAAGCCTTAGTAGTAAAGATATGCACTGCCTTGCCCAACTTGTTTCCCCTTCCTTCCTTCCTTCCTTCCTTTCCCTTCCCTTCCCTTCCCTTCCCTTCTTTCTTTCTTTCTTTCTTTTTCTTTTTTTTTTTTTTTTGGTTTTTCGAGACAGGGTTTCTCTGTGTAGCTTTGCACCTTTCCTGGAACTCGCTTTGTAGACCAGGCTGTCCTTGAACCCACAGAGATCCACCTGCCTCTGCCTCCTAAGTGCTGGAAGTAAAGGAGTGCACCACTGTCACCCAATTTAAAAATATATAATCTTTTAAACGTCTAGCACTGCACCTAAGAAAGACTTTGAAGGCTGGGTCTGTAGTCCACTTGGTAGACTTGCCTAGCACCCACAGAAGCCCTGCATTTAATCTGCAACAACACACTTACACCCACCCCCCGCCACACACACACACACACACACTGGCAAACACCTGTAATCCTGAACACAGCACTTGGGGAGTGGGCGGACCAGAAGTTGATCTTCAGTTACTCTGTGAGTTCAAGGCATCCTGGGCTATGAGAGACCCTGTCTAAAAACCAGCAAAAAGCAGCAGCAGTAACAAACCTGGAGAAATGAGAGTGGTAAGGGACTGAGCCGCTGATAGCCACTAGAAGGAGAGGAGATAGTGCCGTATCTAGTGCTGTGAGCCGTGTCTCTGTGGGAGTGGGGTGTTCTTTGTCCATCGCAGACAAGCTGGGTCCTCCATGGGGCTGTGTCTTACCGTGCTACCGTCTCCTCCTCCAGCTTGGCTGCCCACCCTCCAGACTGTGCGCCATGGCTCCAAGGCTGTGACCCGCCACCGTCGCGTCATGCACTTCGAGCGGCAGAAGCTGATGGCTCTAACTGAGTATATTCCTCCTAAGCCTGCCGTCAACCCTCGATGCCTACCACCTCCTCCCAAACCCCCCAAGGAGGTAAGGAGACTTGCTTGTGTTACTTGGTGGGAGGCTGCTGAAGTTGGACTCCAAGCCATGTAGTTACTTACATCATTAGTTCACTTTCCCACTTGGAGCCGTGTGTGTGTGTGTGTGTGTGTGTGTGTGTGTGTGTGTGTGTGTGTGTGTGTGAATGTGAATGTGGGTACACACTTGCCACTGCTCATGTGTGGAGGTCAGAGGGCAGCTTTTAGGTGTTCGTTCCCTCTTCCACTGTGTAGTCTGGTTTCTACCATGCTACATAATCCACACTGCCACACTGCCCACAAGCTTCTGGTCAGACAAGTCCTCCTATCTCTGCCTCCACATCTCGCTGCTGGAGTGCTGTGACTGCAGACGTATCAGCCACATCAGGCTTTTTCTGTGGGTTCTGGGGACTGAACTCAGATTGCCAGACTTACACAGTAGGCACTCCAAGCCATCTCACCCAGCCCTGCTTCTTTATCATAAAATGTGCACTGGGTTCTGCATGACGTGGGCTCTGAATCACCTGGGCTGTCCGTCTGCATTTTCTTTATTTATCTGTCTCCAAAAACATATGTGAAAACTCTACAAGGTATGAGGGGTGGGGGGTGGGTTCACTCCTGCCTTTTTCTTTTTTTTCTTTTTTTTTCTTTTTTTTTTTTTTGAGATGGGGAGTCTCAGGACCAAGCTCTTCTCAAACTCCTGAATTCAAGTGATCTCCCGGATGCTGAGCTTACAGTGTGAGCTCCCACACCTTGCTCTTTCCTGTTTTCAAAGGAGCCGAAGCATCCCTGTTTCTCTAAGGGGCGATAGAAGTGTTTTGTCTTTGGAAAAGAACAGGAAGAAGCTAGGTGTGGTGCCCCAAACCTATAATCTTTGGCATGGTATGGGCACATAGGAGGTGGAAGCTGGAGGATTGGTTGTTCAGAGCTGTGTAGAGAGTTCAAGGCCAGTTTACACTATAGTACAAGCTGTTTTGAAAGAGCAAAAAACCTGGGCAGACTGGCACATACCTGTAATTCCAGCGCTCAGGAAGCCCAAGAAAGAAGATTGCTTACGAGTTCAAGGCTAGTGTGGTATATATAGTGAATTCCAGATCGCCCAGGACTGTAATGAAACCCTGTCTTAAAAAAAAAATAATGAGGGGCTGGAGAAATGTCTCAGCAGTTACTTGTTCTTACAGAGGTGGGATCCTCAGCACCCACGTAGCAGCTCCCAACTGTCTGTGATGCCAGTGCCACAGGATCCAGTGTCCTCTTCTGGCCTCCTAGGGCACTGCATGCATGGGGTGCAGACATACATACAGGCAAAATACTCATACACATAAATTTTGAGAAAGAGAAAGTGAAGTCCTGGGGTGGTAAGGTAAAGGTACCCTCACTGCCCAGCCTGGGTCCTAGGAATTGGACTCATTTTGTCCAGGCTTGGCATCAAATGCCTTTACCCACTGAGTCATCTTCCAGCTTCCATCACATATCTAAAATTGGTAAAATAAACTGGGCAATGGTGGCACACTCAATGGATTATAGCACTTAGGAAGTAGAGGCAGGTGGATCTCTGAGTTTGAGGCCAGCCTGGTCTACAGAGTGAGTTCCAGGACAGCCAGAGTTACACAGAGAAACCCTATTTAGAAAAACAGTAACAACAAAAAATAATAAAGTTGGTAAAATAATTCACCATTAGTACAGTGTGAGATTGATAATTGAAGTAATTATGTGTGTGTGGTACTGGGAATTGGACGTGGTTTGTTGCATATACTAGTGTTCTGCTAAGCTCTGTCCTGAGCCTTTATTTTAACTTTTATTTTGAGACTGTCTTACTAAGTTTCAAAATTTAGCCTTAAACTCACTTTTCAGTTCAAGCCTAAACTTTTGATTCTCCTGCCTCAGCCTCTTGAGTAGCTGAGTTAATTTTACAGGCTTGTATTACCCAGCCTGTAACTGGATAATCTTGGTTAACTGTGATAACACAGGCTGCCTGCCAAGGTGTCTGGAGAAGGGCAGGTGCTCTCAGGTACTCTGAAGCCTGCAGTCTCCAGTGGAAGTAGAAAGCAAGCTCCAGTCTGTTACCCATTCTGGCATCACTGACCACCCCAGTGCCTATTTGGGGAAAGGGAGGGGACCAGGAGACCTTCATATCTCCTCAGCCATCCTGTCCTGCCACAGGAGTCAGGACTTATCCAGCTCCTGCGTCGGGATATAGCAGCAGTTTTTCGAGATAACCGAATGATAGCTGTCTGCCAGAACGTGGCCATGAGTGCAGAGGACAAGCTTCTCCTGCGGCACCAGTTGCGGAAACACAAGATCTTGATAAAAGTCTTCCCCAACCAGGTAGGGTTGCCCTGGCTCAGGCCTGTCTTCCTCCCATGCCTGCTGAATGGACCCGGCTCTGCTCCTCTTGAGGGCTACTTCCAACTTCTGTTCTAGTCAGCCTAGACACGCTGCCCTAGTCTGGTGCCTAAACTGTGGGTAGGGACTGAGGGGACCCTAAGGGTGTATTTTCAGCTTGGTACAGCCTGTGACTAAGGTATGTGGCTTTTCCCTCCTCTTGTTCCCCATTAGCCATTCTTTCCTGTGATCCTAGGTCCTGAAGCCTTTTCTAGAAGATTCAAAATACCAAAACCTGCTACCCCTTTTTATTGGGCACAATCTGCTACTTGTCAGTGAAGAGCCCAAGGTCAAGGAAATGGTTCGGATCTTGAAGAGTGTTCCTTTCCTGCCACTGCTGGGTGAGTGGGCAGCCCTGCCAGTTAGAGCCGGGTGAAGTAGGTGGGTGGCACAGAGCCTCTGGTGGATGAGCCTGAGTCAGCATGGTTACTGGGGACTCACTGTGTCACTCACCACCTGTGCTGTATCTCTGCCACACGTCAGTCTGCACTGAGGAAAGGGAGCATAGGGCATCTCCCGGTGAGGAGACGGGAGGGGACATCAGGCCTTCCGAGTCTTACCTGTCAGGTAGTGGGTACTGGTGAAGGTATCAGTATCTCTTGGACTAGCAGTATGGCTCAGCAGGAAAGGTCCTGCTGCTGCCAGACTGAGGATCTGAGATCAATTGCCATGACCCACGTAGTGGGAAGAGAGAACTGAGTTCCAGAAGTTGTTTGTGGTATGTGCATGCCCCCCAATAAATAAATAAAAACATTTAAAAATAATAAAACAAGTATCTCAAATAAAGAGGGCCGAGGGCCAGTGCTGTGACCAGTGTGTTTTGGGGTTCATTCTGTGGAGGAGACTGCCTGTACCCCCAGAAAATTCCTGTTTCCTAGGAACTTAGATTTATAGTCATACACACCCCCTTACACTCCAGGATTTTCTTTCCCTGGCATTTCATTGCAAAATACACATAGCATGCGATCCACCGTCCCGTTTGTACGTCTTTAGTTAGGTGGTGTTAGACAGGTCTGTGGTGCTGGGCAGGTGACACTTCCCTCCGTCCCCATCATTGTGTATCTGTGTCATTTAGATGGCAGCTCCATTTCTTCACTCCAAGAGCCTGTCGTCAAAGAAGTTCAGGAGCCACTGACTTTAGGGTGTTTGAGATTAGGTGCACTTCCTAGGCATGTTTTCAGGGGAAGAGAGGAGAGGGGATTGATGCCCAACAGTGGGAATGGGGTGAGGCACAAGTGTGACCCCGATTTTAGGGCCAACTGGGAGGGGAGAAGGGCACTGGAGAGCAGGTTCTTGTTTGGGATGATGCCTCTCAAGAAGAGGAACATTTGAGGGAACCCCGCTGACCCTCCGTTCTTCTAGGTGGCTGTGTTGATGACACCATTCTCAGCAGGCAGGGCTTCGTAGACTATGCCAAGCTGCCCAGCCTGGACCTGCTGCAAGGGGAGCTGGTAGGAGGGCTTACTCGCCTCATGGCCCAGACCCGATGCCTGCTTCAGCACCAGCCTTCCCAGCTGACCTCCCTGCTGGATCAGTACCTCAGACAGCAGCAGCAGGAGGAGAAGTCTGCCACGTCAGCCGCTGGCCAGTCAGCCTCTGGCGAGCCACGTCCTCCTGACCCCGCTCCAGATTCCTAGCCCACCTGTTTTACCCAGCTCTGCCCAGAATACACTCTGTCCCTGTTGTCTGGCCAAGATCTAAAAGAATGTGGAGTGTGGGAGTGGCATGTGTCACTTGGCTCCCATTCACAATGACCTCCTTGGGGACAGGCCTCTTGATACAGAGAAATTCCGTTTCCGAATGAGGCTGCCCGTTGTCTTCAGTTTCACTAGTCACACTGTCTTTGGCTGTCCCAGCCAAGGAAGTCTCCTTCAGCTCTCCAGGCACCAAGCAGATAGAATGGAGATTATCTTGCCCGGCCTTCTCGTCCACTGCCCCTTGCTGTGTGTCTTCCCAGCCACCCTCTCAGTTCCTCTGCGTGCTGTGGTGGACCTTGTGATGGCACCCGCGGTGTCGCGTGCCAAGCACTTTACCAGACACAAATGCCAGCTCCTTTATTCCTGAATGGTGATGCAGGAAAGGGCAGAGTTTGAAGTCCTGCACGAGGCCTTGAACTTGATTCTCTAGCCTCAAATTTCCATAGTAGAACTTTATAAAGTTACCCACGAGTGGGTCCTGAGTGGGCTCAGAGGTTAGTGGTCCACCCTAGTTAGGGTGTGCTGGGTTGTGGAAGGAATGGGAAAACTTCTTCATTATAAAAATAAAATACATTTTATGGACTCTTGTCTTGTTTTTTAAGATTTATGTATAAAAATGGGCCAGAGAGATGGCTCAGCGGTTAAGAGCACAGGCTGCTCTTCCAGAGGTTCCTGAGTTCCATTCCCAGCAACCACATGGTGGCTCACAACCATCTATAATGAGATCTGATGCCCTCTTCTGGCATGAAATCGATAGAGCACTCATGTACATTTAACAACAACAAAAAAGATTTATGTGTAAAACTATGCCTACATTTACATCTGTGTACCACGTTTGTGCCTCATACCCACAGAGGTCAGAAGAGGCCATCAGACCTCCTGGAACTAGAGTTGGTTGTGGTGGTGAGCCACCATGTGGGTGGGAAATTGAACCTGAGTCCTCCAGAAGAGCAACAAGTGCTTGCAGTCGAGTCTCAGCCCTGGACTCTTGATCTTACTGTGACTTATCTCAAGTCATCTCTAAATTCTCACTTTCCTTCCTAAAAAATCCTCTTCTCTGGTCACCTGCCCTTACAGATACCGTGTCTTGCATGCCTTTCCTTAGGAAGGCTGTGGCAGGGAGCACATAAGATCTAGGGGAACTAGAATTCATTTAAAATGGCTCTGGGGGCTGTCGCAGGAGGCCTTCCCTGGTCTTAGAGATCAGCGCCTCGAACAAGGAAGATGCTTGGCCTGTGGCCTGTGTTGTCCTTGGTTGGAACACATCTTAGGTGGATGGGGTTGAATGAGGAGCGGTTCCTCAGCATTCCTTCCCAGACTTGGAGCAAGGCCACACGTCTTTAGTCCTGGACGGACACTGGTGTTGAGGATCTGCCGCAGCTGTCCTCTGGCCTGGGCCGGGACCAACCTCTTACGGTGCCCAGCTCTGCGGGTGCCCAGGGATGCTCAATCATTTAAAAGGCCCTTGAGGCTCTGGATGTCAGAGCAGCTGCCCCGTGCTTCCAGATGCCTGCCTGGTCCTGCCCACAGCATCCCTCCCTCCTGGAAGGCTCTGTCTATGCCGAGGTTCCGAAGGGAGCCCAGACAGCAGGTATCCCTGAGGTGTGTAAGACCTTGAATCTGACAAGGTTGGGCAGACAAGTGGCCCACATCATCTCTGAGGCCGTACAAGGGTTCATAGCCACAGCCTGCTGGTGCTGCCTTGTCTCGGGCACCAAACCTGTCACTTGGTGTACATCCATTTGGATGAATTGTAGGTACTTCTCAAGAGTCAATTCTTAATTACTTCAGCAAGTGAGCACAGTGCTCCAGCAGTGGGTGAAGGTGTCCGGGGGTCAGGGGAGGGACCCTAAGTTGGCTTTCCTTTCTAACAGCCCCAGGTGACTGCCCCCAGAGCCGCTCCCACCCCAAAGCCTCACTGGCATTTCCTGACCCCACAGCCGACCTGATAGGGTCGCTCGGGGTGGATAGCCTCTGTGGGGCTTCAGCTGTCCCTCTTCCCTTGAGTGCCCTGCTGACTCTGCTTCTGGCAGTCTGTCATGTCCCAGAGTATGCAGGGGTGGTGTGAGGTGGGAGAGTGTCTCTGTCCCTTCCCAGTCCACTTGATAGCTTCGCTAGTCAAAATGTGCCATCTATTTCAGGTGTAAACCGAGAGGCAGGGTGAATAAGGAAATGGCCTTGAGTGCTCACCGGGGTCAAGGCCACGCTGCCCAGAATAAATCCTTTACCTCCAATGGCTTGAAGCCAGGAGTTTTCCAGTCCCCTGATCCGTGTGGAGCTATGCCCAGTGGGGACTGTGCCCCTCACTTCCAAGTCATTTGGTACCACTCCGTCCGTCCGTCCTTAGTCCTCCCGGGAGCAGGGGGGCAGAGCTGAGCGGCAGCCCGGAGCTTGGCGGGAGGAGGCGACGGGGGAGGGGCAGGTGGGGAGATCCGGCTGGAGGGGAGGCTCCGACGTCTCCTTCCTTCCTGGTTCCTGCAGCAGCTGCTGCCGCTGCTCAGCTCTGTGAAGAGGTGGCCGGTGACTCGGGGACAGTGACTCAGAGGCGGATCGGTGCACGGACCAAGAAGCACTGGCGTCCATGGACCCTGGGGTAAGGGGGCCTTGCTGTCACCACCTGACATTCCTGGGAGGGTTTCCTCTCCTCTGCAGCTGGTGGGTCAGCTCCTCCAGGAAAGAGGCTGAGAATGGTGGTGGTTAGAAGACACTCACCTGGCTCGTCTCGACTCTCCTTCCTACGGGTAGACACCTCCCACCTCTGCGGGGGGCCAGCATCGAATGGCCCGAGTCCCAGGGGCCCCCGACAAGGCCGTAGACATACCCAAACAGCAGAAGAGTTTGGAAACTTTGAATGGCTGAATGCAGGCGTTTCCCCTTGGGTCAGCCTCTTGCAGCCTGGGTCCTTCTGCTGTGACCTCCTGGCCACACTGACACTGTCACTTCCCTGTCCCTTCTGGGCCTCAACTCCTCAGGTGCTTGCTAGCGGCATAAGCTGTGAGCCGCTTCCCCAGACACAGGGCAACATCACCCCTCCGGTCCCCTCCCCCTTCTCATACACACATAGAGCCTCATGCATTATTGATCTCCTGGCAGAGCCAGGATGGCCAGAGCCAGTGCCAGAGGCGCCTGTGGGTACTGCTGCGGGACCTGGACATGTTCCTGGCCACCTCTTCTCCCACCCACAGTGTCTGAGCCAGCCAGTGTCCTGCTCCTTCTGGGTGGGAGGGAGGTGCTTCTCAGGAGCACAGAGGACATTGTTGAAAGGGGTGGGGTAAAAAGAAATCCAAGGTGGGTATCCTCCGGGCATGTGAAAACAGGAGTGTCTCAAACCTCAGTTTCCCCATGCAGAAAATGGGAGCACAAGAACTGGCCGCTAAGAGGCCGGTTAGTAGAAGTTGGAGGGGTGGTCTGCAGGGCAATTGTGGCAGAGGAGTTGCCAAGCCATGGAGATAGGCAAAGAGATCCCAGAGGGAAAGGCAGCTGGGCTGAGGAGTCCTTGGCCGCCTAGACTCTGGGCCCTTTCATCTCTTCTTGGACCCTCTTCCTTTTCCCTGCCCAGCCTCAAGAAAACAGCATTTCCTGGATCCCTGGGGTGTATGCCCCAGGTGGAGCCACAGGCTGCCTGCTAGCTTACCCCTCCTGGCAGTGGCCACAGTGGGATTGAGTTGGGTGCTGCCTAGGCTCCTGGTGGTGTCAGGGCATGCTGAGGGTGCGGGCATGGCGTGTGAGTGCAGGATGTGTATCTTAGTGCAGGAGAGACCAAAGGTGGGAACATGACAGCAGGGGGGTATTCACGGGTCTTTCTTGTGTTTCAAGGGCTCCCACAGGACAAAGTGACACTCTTCCCTGTCCACCCTGCTCTACCCTCCTCATCAGGAAGTACCCTCTCCTTCCTCATGGACTTCCAAGAACGGGACACTCCCTCGCTGGCTGAGAGTACTCAATCGTCAAAGCCCAGTAGCACCCAGCAGGTCTGAGCAGAAAAGCTGTGATGGACGGGTGGGCCTAGCTTGGGACCCTGGGGGATGGACTGAGGTCGTGGGCTTACCAGCTGCTGCCCTCCATCTACGCTGGATTTCAGGCCTCCGAGCTGTGGGAGGTGGTGGAGGAGCCTCGGGCCAGACTGGGAGCAGAGGACACCATGCCCGAGAGACAGGAAGGACACCTGCTCAAGAAGAGGAAGTGGCCTCTTAAGGGCTGGCACAAGGTAGGATGTCAGGGCAAGGGAGGAGCTCCATGTGGGAGACTGCGAGACAGCCCTGGCATTCATGTGTGGTGAAGGAGGAGAAAAAACGTGTGTTTGTCTGCTCTCTCCCTGCCCCATGCTCCTGGCTGCCCGGTCCTGTCCCTCCCATACAGAGGTACTTTGTGCTCGAGGATGGGATCCTCCACTATGCCACGACTCGACAAGATGTAAGTCGGGTGCCGGGTTTGGGGTGTGGAGGAGCCTGCCCCAGAATGTTCTGAGCAGGTGGGGGGAGTCTTGAGTTAACCAGAGCAGGGTCCACTCTCTCTCAGTTCCACTTTCAGGAACCTCTTGGCTTTCTGCAGCCTTGGGCTCCACATCTGCAGATTCAACGATTTAAACACACACACACACACACACACACACACACATACACACACACACACACACACACTTTGAAAGTATACCTGTACTGAACACATAGAGGTTTTCTTCTCACTATGATTCCCTAGAGTTACCATTCCCACAGCAGGTACATAATGGCATTAGGTCTTAGACGTCACCCAGAAATGGCTGACGGGCACAGAGATGGGTATAGGTTGTGTGTAGAAACTGTCCATTTGGTTTCCTTTGTGGCTCCTAGAACCCAAAATACCATGAGACAATTGCTTCCCTGGGCCTCAACCTCCTTCCTGCTGACTCGGGGTGGGGGACACACTCAGCCTCCTGTGCACTTATCTGGATGATGCCCGTTGCAAACCAAGCGCCCCAAAAGTGGGGGCTTTGTCCCCCTGTCCTTGTCGTCCTCTTGTGCTGGGAACAGGAAACAAGGCTGAGCTCCCAGGTTCCCTCCAAGGGGTCTTCTTTCTCCTACCATGTAGTGTTCGGGGGGGGGGGGGGAGGGGGGGGTGGCTTTTTTTTCTTGCTTGCTGACTTCTCAGACCTGTAAGAAGTTGGACATGCAGATGAGGTGATGAGCAAGCTCCTTTATATGTGATTTGAGGTGTGTGGCCCTTGAGTCTACAGTGGCCTCTAGGAGGTGGTGACCTTGTGCTTCCGGGACCCTCAAACCAGTCCCCTGTCTCCCACCAACCCTCCACTCCAGATCGCCAAGGGGAAGCTCCATGGCTCCATCGATGTCCGGCTGTCAGTCATGTCCATCAACAAAAAGGCCCAGCGCATTGACCTTGACACTGAAGACAACATCTACCACCTAAAGGTGACATCCGTGGGAACAAAGTATTCTGGGCACTAGCCTGGCAGAAGTGTCAGGGCACAAACATAGGAGCTGAGGGGTCTTCTCTGAGTCTGATGAGATGAAAGTTTCCACTGTCTGAAACAGCCAGGAGTGGGCCCACTCTCACGGTTGACTGTTAGGGGAAGATACAGAGCTCAGAGCTCTGATGCTTGGGGCGTCAGACTGTCTGTCGGAAATAGGGTTTTTTGTTTGTTTGTTTGTGTTTTTTGTTTTTTGAGACAGGGTTTCTCTGTGTAGATTTATGCCTGTCCTGGATCTCGCTCTGTAGACCAGGCTAGCCTTGAACTCACAGAGATCCTCCTGCCTCTGCCTCCCGAGTGCTGGGATTAAAGGCGTGCGCCACCACCGCCCGGCTGCAATAGGGTTTTGTACAAGCTGGGTGCTCTGGGAAATTCCCTGCTTGCCTAGAGATCAGAGACCTGACGTTTTGCTCCTGGAAAGCAACCCTTCCCTTCTTATCTGTCTCGATCGTTTCTACAGATCAAATCCCAGGACCTGTTCCAGAGCTGGGTGGCCCAGCTCCGAGCCCATCGCTTGGCCCAGCGTCCGGACATGCCCGGTGCCACTCACCGAAAGGTAAGATGGGCCATGGAGTGAGGGCGGGGGATGTGAAGATGTAGGAATGGAGGCTGTGGGGAACTGAGACCCAGAGAGCTGGGCACCATCCTTCCTGACCCTTGGCTTACCCCCACAGGTTCCTGGTACCCAGATGCTAACAGCGGGTAGTGCCTCAGCCTTACCTGGGGTTGGCCCTCGAGAGAAAGTGTCCTCCTGGCTGAGGGACAGTGATGGGCTAGACCGCTGCTCTCATGGTGAGGGTCCCTGGCCCAGAGTCTCTGTGGTAGGGCCCATGTTCTTACATCTGGGCAGGGAACACCAAGGAAAATGTTACCTCCATCACCTTCTCAGAGGGACCCCCTCTGCTGGGGGAGACACCCTTTGCCTCCAAGATGATCAAATCTTAGTGCCCTGAGGAGCCCCAACTTACAGAGTAGGTTCATCATGCCCTAGGTACGTAGCAGGAACAGAGACTCCTGCCTGAGGCCAGTGCGGTAAAATTCTAGAATTGTGTTCCTGCAGAAGGAGACCACACAGTGACCCAGAGAGAGCAGTGTGTGTAAATCAGGAGAGACAGATAGTAGGACACCCAGCCTGGGCACAGGCAGAAGAGGTGAGGGGTAGTCTGTGAACAGGGTGGGGTGGGCTACCGGCCTCCCAGAAAATCAGAAGCGACTACGCCACAGGACTGGAAATGCTCTGGGCTTCTGAACAGAGAGGAGACAGTGTCAGGCTCTCCCTGGCTGCCAGCTTTATCTTTGGATGTCAAGGAACTGAGGGGACAGACCGGAAACCTTGGTACCTCCAGGAGAGCAATGCCCCTCCTTCCTTCTCCTCCAGCGCTCTCGGAATGCCAGGGTAAGCTCCAGGAGTTACACAGACTCCTTCAGAGCCTGGAGTCCCTACACCGAATCCCCTCGGCCCCTGTGATCCCCACACACCAGGTAAGGGTCAAGGGAGGAGGCAGGGACTGCTCAGGGCCCCTCATCCCCATCCCTTCGTGGGGCCGGCCTGCCTGCCTGCCTCCAGCTGCCTCCAGGCTGTCTCTTTGCTCCTTTTATCTGGGTCACTGCCAGCATGCCACACCCATGTGCTTGGGCGATCTGTGCTGTCCTCCATGGCTTTTCCCAACCCGGTGGGTGAAATTACTCTTCCTCAACTTGCCAGGCCTCGGTGACAACTGAGAGACCCAAGAAGGGGAAACGGACCAGTCGCATGTGGTGCACACAGGGCTTTGCCAAGGATGACACCATTGGACGGGTGAGCTGGGGTGCCAGCCCATGCAGGGATGCCATGCCCTGGAGGAAGTGGTCCCTTCACCCCTCCTGTTTGCCGACAGGTTGGTCGTCTCCATGGCTCTGTTCCCAACCTGTCTCGGTACCTGGAGTCTCGGGACTCTTCTGGCCACCGTGGGCTGCCACCTCCAGACTATGCCCACCTGCAGCGCAGTTTCTGGGCCCTGGCCCAGAAGGGTAAGTACAGGCTAGGCGGTGGTCAGGAGTGGGTCAAGAGGTCGGGAGAGGAAGAAGGGTCTGACCATCTGACCTGCCCCTGGCAGTGCACAGCTCCCTTAGCAGCGTCCTGGTTGCCCTCACCACAGAACGGGATCGACTGAGAGACCTGCATCAGGGCTCAGAGCTGTCGAGGATGGCGGTGAGCCTCCGGGACACGGCAGCTGATCAGAGGGAGGGCCTGAGACTGAGGACTGCAGGTCCCATGGGCAAATCTGTGCCAGGGCTCAGGGCTGACAGAAGCCGTCCCTGAGTGGGTGAGGGTGGCAGGTGGGGGGGGATTTCACCTTCCCACACCTAGTCCCTCACCCTCTGCCTCAGGTCTCTGAGGCCCCAGATGGTCAGAGACGCCTCCACTCACTATCCATCTCCTCAGACACCACAGCGGACTCCTTCAGTTCCCTCAACCCGGAGGAGGTGAGGATCTAGGATGGACAGTGGGTGCTTGCTTACTTCCCGGGGCTTTCTCTTCAGGGGTGAGGGCCAGGAGCAGGGCACAGGGTTGATGTGGAGTCTAGAAATAGGTGGCGGGAGGGTAAGCGGGGCTCCAGCTTGCTCTTCTCTCACTTAGCATCACAGCTCTCTTGGCGAGTTCTGCAGACGGCTTGTGCCTCATGTCTTGTTCTGTTTGCCGTACCGAGGCTGGAACCTGGGGCCTTGTACATGCGAGACATGCGAGGCAAGCAGGCTACCCTGAGCCACACGTCCAGCCTCTGAGAACTTTTGCTTTTGCTTCAGAGCCCATGAGGCATTGGTTCTTACCCCTCCACCAGGCCTGCCCAGCCTTTGACATTCCAGTGTGGCATTGTCGTGTACAAAATTCACACTCAAGGACCACATCACCGAGTTAACAACCACAACAACAAATATTTTTTTATGATGTTTTAAGTCAGTTCATGACTTGGTATTGGGCTGCGCTCATAGCCACTCTTGGCTGCATTCAGTCATGGACAGCCCGTGGACCACAGGTTGGACATGTCTGCATCATGAAACGAAAGCCCAGAGGATCTAACCGATGGGCCCGTGGTCCTGCAGTCTTAACCAGGCTGAATTAGAGTCTGCGTGTGGTGCCACTGCATGCCAGCTGTGTGTTCTGGGTCCCGGTCTTCTAGTCTTCATGGTGGGGACACAGCTGTACCTGTCCATGGCGGTGGGGGGGGGAGGTGCGCGGCAGTGATCCTGACTTAGTGGGCCAGTACAGGAAAAGGGTTTAGAGCCAGGTTCTGCTGGTGCCCACCACCTCTTCCAAGTCCAGATTTTCCCCTGTCCCTCAACCCTCCTCCCCTCTGCTCCTCCTCCTGCTTGGCAGGAGTCTGGTGGGGGAGGTGGGGTGGCTTGCCTCTCCAGGAACTCACTCCAGTGGCCTCTGAGGTCTCACGTCCATCTGGCCCCCACAGCAAGAAGCTCTGTACATGAAAGGCCGAGAGCTGACCCCCCAGCTGTCCCAGAGCAGTGTGTTGTCCCTCGCTGATTCCCACACAGAGTTCTTCGATGCCTGTGAGGTTCTCCTTTCCGCTAGCTCTTCTGAGAACGAGGTGAGGGAGGAGGAGGAAGCCGGCAGCAGGAGGGAGGGACCGGGGAAGATGGGCTTGGGTTCCAGAGATTCCTGTGTCCTTCCCCCCACCTTGGCAGCTATCTATCTGAGAGCATACCCATGGTGTGACTCTTCCGAAACTGCTTCCCCTGCTTGACATACCTCACCTTACTGTGGTCTCTGATGTCGTCTTCCCACGGCCCCATTTCAGCTTTCCTGCTCCTTTGACCCTGTCCCCCAAGACCCTGGACCTCAGCACCCCTCAGCTTCCCTTCCTCTATGTCTTGCCGAGTTCCCCAAGTTCTTTCTACAAGTCAAGCACCAGTCGGGACAGGACGATATCTTAGGGCCAAAAGTCCTCCTCGCCCAGCCTTGCCTCTTTCCATCGAGGGCTAGCTGGTCATGATCTTGCCAGGTCCCGGGCACTGCCATTCCGTCTACCCCACCTATCCACTCTCCCTGATCAGGGCTCTGAGGAAGAGGAGTCATGTGCCAGTGAGATCACCACCAGCCTGTCTGAGGAGGTGTTGGACCTCAGGGGAGCCGACTGCTATCAAAAAGGTACCAATGGGATGAGCGGGGAGTGGGACAAGGGTGAAGCGGGGTCCCGTGTAGAGATGCTGTTTGCTCATGGCTCGGGTCCGAGTGTAGAGATGCTGTTTGCTCATGGCTCGGGTCCGAGTGTAGAGATGCTGTTTGCTCATGGTCCGGGTCCGAGTGTAGAGATGCTGTTTGCTCATAGTCCGGGTCTGAGTGTAGAGATGCTGTTTGCTCATGGCCTGGGTTCGAGTGTAGAGATGCTGTTAGCTCATGGCCCGGGTCCCATGTAGAGGCAGTCCTTTGTGTCTGGTGGGCTTTGGGTAATGATTCCAGAACTGACCTTGGAACCATGAGCTGGGGAGTATTTGGAGGACAGTTCTGGGAGGTTGACCAGGCTTGGGAATGGTGCTAACTTTCATTCCAGTAGGCTGGGAGGGCTTAATAGGGTATGACATGTCCCTTAAGAGGGACAGACAGTTCTGCTTGAGTCCTTCATTAGCAAAGGAGCTTTGGGCTGCCATTTTACTTTCTAGAGCCAGTTTCCTTTCCTTTCTTCCCTTTTCTCTCTTCATTTTCTGGTTTGTTGAGACAGGGTTTCTCTGTGTAGTCCTGGATGTCCTAGAACTCAATCTGTAGACCAGGATGGCTTCGAATGCAAGAGATTTGCCTGCCTCTGCCTCCTGAGTGCTGGGATTAAAGGCATGGGCTGCCGGGCAGTGGTGGCGCATACCTTTAATCCCAGCACTCGGGAGGCAGAGGCAGGCCTGGACTACAGAGTGAGTTCCCGGAAAGGCGCAAAGCTACACAGAGAAACCCTGTCTCGAAAAACCAAAAAAAAAAAAAAAAAAAAAAAAACGGCATGGGCCACCACTGCCCAGCTTATTTCTTCTATAAAACTGGCTGAGGACAGGAGGTGTAGCTTGGTTGGTAGTGTTTGCCTCATGCACAAAGCCCTGGGTTCAGTCCCCAGCACTGCATAAACCGAGAACAGTGGCACTGGCCTGTCATCCGAGCACTGGGGAGGTGGAGGCAGGAGGATCAGATCAAGATTATCCTCAGCTACATACTGAGCTCCAACCCAATGAGACCCTGTCCCTGTACAAAATAGTGGGGGGACAGTGGATGATCTGCATCCCAGCATCTGTTTGTCCATCAGGGCACAGAGGCCAGGATGAGACTCAGGCCCAACTTCTGAGCACTTGTGCATGGCGGTGGAACTGTCCTGCCTGGGTGGCTCTTAGCTCTGCTGCCCCTCCAAATCCCCAGGAGCCCACAAGCAGTCAGATCCTCAGTCACCTCCCCTAGTGGGCAACGCTGGGATGCCTGAGGAGGTTAGGAGGTAGTCCTGTGCAGCGGGCCTGGCACATCTGGACCACCAGTGTCCGGAGGGAGACTGAAGTGACTGCATTGGCCCAGGGGGGTGTGTCCCAGGGATCGCTGTAGGGCCCCCTCGCCGCCGCTGCCTGCCCGCCGCCAGCGGACCCGGAACCGACGTGAGCCTGTGGAACATCCTCCGCAACAACATCGGCAAAGACCTGTCCAAGGTGTCCATGCCCGTGCAGCTCAATGAGCCGCTCAACACACTGCAGAGGCTCTGTGAGGAACTGGAATACAGCAGCCTCCTGGACCAGGCCAGCCGCGTGGCTGACCCCTGCGAGCGCATGGTACCCACCCAGGGTCACTCGTTCCTCCCCAGGGTTCTGTCTGTCTTTCCCATCCTGGCTGGGTGGGTCCCTACTGCTGAAGCAGCGCCTCAAAACCCCGGACTTAGCTTGCGATGGGCTGCGGTCCCCTTCCTGGGGTCCCCCGGCACCCGGGGCACTCACTCTCCGTGGCCTTCCCACAGGTGTACATTGCAGCCTTTGCCGTGTCTGCCTACTCCTCCACGTACCACCGGGCGGGATGCAAGCCGTTCAACCCGGTCCTGGGGGAGACCTACGAGTGTGAGCGGCCCGACCGGGGCTTCCGTTTTATCAGCGAGCAGGTGTGAGCCCCGAGGTGGGAGGGCTGTTTCCACTGCTGGGGCAGGGGAAGACCTGGTTTGGGGACCAGAAGGTGGGCCAGGGGATAGGGGAGAAGAGGAAGTGGTCGGTGGCCCTGGGCCAGGCACATGCTAATGGGGCAGAGCTCTCAACAACTCAGAGGGGCGCGGAAAGGCACAGCCCAAGGTGTTCTGTGCGGGGCACCGCTGCTAGCTAGCTCTGGAGGGTGGGTTAGAGGAAGTCCAGGTAAAGAGCTGAAGGATTGGTTTGTTCCATGTGTGTAGGATAGGGTGTTCAGCAAAGTTACAGGCGGCTGAAGGCAGGACAGGCTAAACCCTGTGCTTTGTAGGTGAAGGTGAGGTGCATTCTGGGGTTTCATTTGCTTCTAAATCTGAAAGCAGTGGGAGGCATGGGGAGCACAGAGAAGTGGTGTGAGCACTCCGTAAAGAGCACTCAGGCCGTGGTGGGCAACAGTTGGCAGGAGCCATTATCAGGCCATTAAGGTCTTCTGCCTGAGAGCCGAGGACAGCGGGCACTTAGCCTGTGGCATGCTGAATCCAAGAGCTGTGTATGTGCCACCATTGACAGAACTCAGCAGCCGGGAGGATGGAGAAGAGCGTGGCGAGCGACCGTGTGCCAGGCACTATGGCACGGGATGGGGTGGAGGGCTGCCTGCCCCAAGGAGCTAGCATCATGTTGCCCCCGGGTGGGACTTCCTCAGGGAAATGTCCTGTCTTAAAGGAAATGTCCTTCAAGGCCTGTAGACCCGGGGCTGGGAAAAGGGGACAGATCAGTGGGGTCCCAGCTTAGAGGGCAGGAAAAATCAGGATCCCCTGTGGGATGTGTTACTAGGACCTGGGGGTGCCAGTGACTTCTTGAGTGAAGGACAGAAAGGACAGGGTAGAGATGAAATTATACAGAATGCTGCAGGTATACCCAGCTTGCAGCCCGTTGGCTGAGAATGCAGCCTGACACATTTGTAGATGACAACATGATACTGCCACATCAAAAGCTTGGAAAAGGCTGGGTGTGGTGGCACATGCCTTTAATCCCAGTACTGGGGAGGTAATGGCAGAAGGAACTCTGTGAGTTTGAGACCAGTCTGGTCTACATAGTGAATTCTAGGACAGCCAGAACTATAGAGACCCTGTCTCAAAAAAAGGAAAAAAGCTGGGCGGTGGTGGCGCACGCCTTTAATCCCAGCACTCGGGTGTCAGAGGCAAGTGGATCTCTGTGAGTTCGAAGCCAGCCTGGTCTCCAAAGCAAGCTCCAGGAAAGACGCAAAGCTACACAGAGAAACCCTGTCTCAAAAAAAACAAAACAAAAAAAAGGAAAAAAAAAAAGTGGAAATCCCCAATAAGAGTGAAAGTTTTAAAAAAATAAAGCCTGATTGGGAGACAGAGACAGGGGGATCTCTGAGTTCCAGGCCAGCCTGGCCTACAGACTACAGAGCAAGTTCTGGGACAGTTAAGGTGACACAGAGAAACCTTGTCTCAAAAAAAAAAAAGGGCCAGTGTGATGGCTCAGCATGTAAGCATGCTTGCCACTAAGGCTGCTGACCTGAGTTCAAGCCCATGATTTTACTTGGTGGAAAGACAGAACCAATTCCTGCAAATTGTCCTCTGACCTCCACATACATGCTACTGTGGTACACATGCTCCCATGCACATACACACATAAAATAAACACACACGTATGTAGATATGTATGCATATATATTAAATTTTATGTGTGTGGGTGTTTTGCCTGCATGTATGTCTGTATAGTATTTACATACATGGTGCTGTAAAGGACAAAAGAGGACATCAGGTCCCCTGAAACTGGAGTAACAGATGTGTGTGAGCTGGCATATGGGTTCTGGAAATGGAACTTGGATTTATTTGCTTGCATAGGAAGACCCCTGGGAAAGCAGCCAATGCTCTAACTGCTGTGCAAACTCTCCAGCGCCACCCCATTTACATTTTTAAATAGTGTATGTATATAAAAAATGTATGTTTATATGTGTGTGTGTGAGCATGTGAATGCAGTACCCTGGGAGGCCAGGAGGAGGTGCTGGATTTCTTTGGAGCTGTAGCTACAGGATGTTTTGGGAGCTGCCCAGTATATGCTCTTAACTGTTGATCCATCTTTCTACCTCTGAGTGTGTGTGTGTGTGTGTGTGTGTGTGTGTGTGTGTGTGTGTGTGTGTGTGTGTGTGTTTTAAACTAGAGAGATGGCTCGGGAGTTAAGAGCTCTCACTGTTCTTGTAGAGGACCCAGGCTCAGTTTCTAACACCACAATGTGGCTCACAACCCTACTATAACTCCAGTTCCAGGAGATCTGATGCCCTCTTCTGTTCTTTAGAGGCGTATGGTGCTATACCTACATACAGACCAACATACATCTAATAAATTTGTTGTCGTTGTTTGTTTGTTTGTTTATCGAGACAGGGTTTCTTTATGTAACCTTGGCTGTCCTGGAACTCGCCCTGTAGACTGGGTTGGCCTCGAACTCACAGAGATCTGCCTGCCTCTGCCCCACTGAGTGCTGGTATTAAAGGTGTGTGGTACCACTGCCCAGCCCAGTTAAATTTTTTTTGTTGTTGTTTTTGTTTTTTGAGACAGGGTTTCTCTATGTAGTTTTGGAGCCTGTCCTGGATCTCGCTCTGTAGACCAGGCTGGCCTCGAACTCACAGGAGGCCTGTCTCTGCCTCCTGAGTGCTGGGATTAAAGGAGTGTGCCACCACCGCCCGGCAGTTAAATTTTTAAGAAAAAAAATTTTAATTCAAAACTAGAAAAAAATGCAGACTATTTTCAAGAAATGTTATCACAAGGGAAAGAGGAGAAAAGGGTAGTCACCAGAGGAACCTGAGGGGCTGAGACAATTTCTTCGTCTGTTTAGTTTTTGTTGGTGTTGTTTGCTTTGTTTTTTGAGACACAGTCTTACTGTTTAACCCTGGCTGGTCTTGAACTTGCTAAGTAGACTTGCCTCTGCCTCCTGAGATCAGGGCTTAAAGAGGGTGAAAATTTTACGTAGCAGAATAGTGTGTACAACAGGAAGGATCCTCCCATTCTGACCTATAGAGGGGGCTTCTGTACTCATATCCTGCCAGAAATGATGGGCACAGATGCCAGCAGAGACTGAATATCTAGAAGGAGGAAGCTTAAAACGCACTCATGGAGTGTGTACTCCCGGGGGCCTCCCTTCACTCAGTATAAAGCCTTATTCATATTGTCGAGTGTGACAATAGTATATTCCTTTATTATTGAATACCCCATTGTGTGGAGGGACAACCATTGCCTTATGTCCTTTTTGATTGACATTTGAATTGTTTCCTGTTTGGGGTATTATGAATAAAAGTGCTATGAATGTTTATGTGGGACATAAAAGGAAGGCCTGCTGCTTAGGATGGGAGGAACAGGAAATCCTTCTGTTCATAGAGAAAGGGCCACATAGAAGGAAAGACTGGAGAGAAGTGGTGTGGGAGGGCTGGGGAGCCGTGAAGGAGGAGCTGCTGCTCCGGGCAGGGGAGCCAGCCTGGAAGGGAGGAGGGAGCAGGGAGCAGGAAGGAGGCCAGAGTGGGAGGAGATGCCTTTTCCTGCTCTGTTCTCCCCCGACTACAAGGGCAAAAGGGTATGACAGGGTTGGCTCAGGTTTAGGACCTCAGAGGATTTCTGGGTGCTCAAGGCCTAGATTTAGAGCTATGTGGAACTGGCTGTCCCCTCTATGGGTTGTGTGTCCAGGTGAGGTCAAAGCCAGGGGTACACAGAGTGGCTGCGCTGCCAGTTTTTAAAAAGATTTATTCATTTTATTATGCGTGTGTTTGCCTGTGTGTGCCTGTGCACGTTTATAAAATGCCAGTGGAGGCCACCAGAGGGCGTCAGAGCTCCTGGAACTTGGAGTTACAGGCTGTTGTGAGCCTCCATGTGGGTGCTGAGAATCGAAACTAGGTTCTCTGAAAGAACAGCCAGTGCTCTTAACTACTGAGATGTCTCCCCAGTCCCCAAGATTTATTTGTTATTTTTATTTATGGTGTCTGTGTCTGTGTGTGCTCCAGGTGGCAGGTAGCAGGAAGGCCAGAAGAGACGTTAGAATCCCTTGGAACTAGAGTTACAGGCGGTTGTGAACTTTTTTTTGTTTTTGTTTTTTGTTTTTTTGAGACAGGGTTTCTCTGTGTAGCTTTACACCTTTCCTGGAACTCACTTGGTAGCCCAGGCTAGCCTTGAACTCACAGAGGTCCGTCTGGCTCTGCCTCCCGAGTGTTGGGATTAAAGGCATGCGCCACCACTGCCCAGCAGTTGTGAACTATTGATGTGAGTTCTGGGAACTGGATTCAGATCCTCTGCAAGAGCAGCTGGTGCTTTTAACTGCTGAGCCCTCTCTGCGGCCCCTCATGTCAAAAAATGTCTACTCTGTTTATTTACGTGTGTGTGTGTGTGTGTGTGTGTGTGTGTGTGTGTGTGTGTGTAGCACATGTGCACAGCACAGATCTGGAGGTCAGGGGACAGCTTGTGAAGTCTGTTCTCTCCTTCCATGTAGAATCCAGAGAACTCAGGGTGTCATGGTGAAGAGCACGTTTACCCACCTAGCCATGCGCACTGACGTTTCTGGCTGGTGGTGGGAGCAAGCGGCTGAGGGTGCTGGGTGAGAGGGGAAGCCGGGATGGTGTCTGCAGACCACAAGAAAGCAGACTAGTGAGAAATCTTGGCTGCAGCTAGAGCCAGAATGACAGGCAGCTGGGAGGCATGGAGGCGAGGCTGCGGGAATGTCCGAGTTGAAGGTCGCAGATGTGGAGACATTCCAAGTCAGGAGAAGGCCGAGAGTTCCCAAGAGGGTGGAGTAGAGCCAGCAGGATGTGAGCAGCTGTCTGGGGAGGAGGCGGATGGAGAGGGTCCTTGGGGAGGGCTGGGTTTCAGGGCAGAGGTCGGAGGCCCTGTTTGGTGTGTTGGGGGAATGTCTGGCCAAAGGTGCTTAAGGCTCCATCACCAGGGTCAGTCGGTGGCCAGCAAGGCAGATGAACAAGGAGAACACAGGGGTGGGGTGGGGGTGGGGGAGGGAAGAGGGGATAATGGACTTGGATGGTGCCTGGAGATTGCAGGAACAAATGACTTGGAAATAACTGATTCAAGCTGTACAGTGGTGGCGCAGGCCTTTAATCTCGGCACTGGGGAGGCAGGTCAACCTGGTCTACAGAGAGTTCCAGGATGGCAGGGAGGTTACACAGAGAAACCCTGTCTCAAAAACAAAAGCAAACAAACAAACAAAAAAGAATTAACTGATTCCCCTGAAACTAGGTAGGAATCGGAGAATCGGGGTGGGGGGAGGTTTAGGAGAAGACCCCAAGCCCCTCAGGGGCAGTGTTAAGGACTTCTTTGCTTATCAAGGTCTCCCATCATCCCCCGATCTCCGCATGTCACGCAGAATCTGAGAACTTCATCTTCTGGCAAGGTAAGCGGTGTGGGGCTGGATGGGCACAAAGGTCATGGGCAGCAGGGTGGGGGTGACTGGAACACTCCGGATCACTCTGGCCTTGTCTCTGCTTCCCTGCCCGCCCCCCAAGACATGAAGTGGAAGAACAAATTCTGGGGCAAATCCCTGGAGATCGTGCCTGTGGGGACAGTCAACGTCAGCCTGCCCAGGTGAGTCCTGTAACTCCCAGTGGCCAGGCCTGCCCATGGGCCTTCTCCTGGCTGCCAGCGGGGGCCCGGGCTGGATAGAAGGCTCTAGTCTAGCCTGAAGCTGCTGGAGGTGACAGCAGGATGTGTTTGTACATTTTACACCTACATTTGCTTCAGTTACTGTAAAGAAGGTGAGACACCCGAGAACGGGGTGGGGGCCTAACGAGGTCATCTGACTAAGTGTCTTTCACAACTTTTTGATCATCACTCGCATTAAGAAATGCACTTGAGACTTCAAACCAACATGCATGTGAGGCACCCCCACCCCCCCCAGACACACACACACAGAAATCTAAATGGATGCTGGGACTAACGGATCACAAACCATGTTTGAAGACCCTCATCTCAGCTGGGTGTGGCGGTGCATGCCTTTAATCCCAGCCCTTGGGAAGCAGAGACAGCCCTGTCTACAGAGTGAGTTCCAGGATAGCAAGAGCTACACAGAGAAATCCTGTCTCCAAAAAACAAAAAACAAAAACAAGCTAACAAACAAGAAAAGAAAAAAAGAAAACCTTCATCCAAGTTCATCTTGCAGATGGGCATCAGAAGCTGAGAAGGAAAGGGGGCCTTTTACTTAGAGTGGCAGGGTCTTGGTGCGATGGTGCACACTGATTTTAGTCCCAGCGCTTGAAAGGCTGAAGCAAGTGAATATCTGTGGGGTCAAGGCAGCCTGGGCTGCACAGTGAGATCCTGTCTCAAAAAAAAACAGAACTAGCCGGGCGGTGGTGGCCCATGCTTTTAATCCTAGCACTCAAGAGGCAGAGCCAGGCAGATCGCTGTGAGCTGGAGGCTAGCCTGGGCTACAGACTGAGTTTCAGAAAAGGATCTAAAGCTACACAGAGAAACTCTGTCTCAAAAACAAAAACACCCAGAGCTAAAGCGTGCCAGTGACCCTTTCGTAGTCTCTCATTTCCGTGACTTAGGCACTCAGGAACTTTGTTGTGGGATCCAGACATGTTCAGTGGAGCATCCTGTGATGGCAACTCCCCTTGACGAACAAGAGTCTGCCTCGCGGAGCTGGTGCCGGGCTCGGTGGTACCCCTTTCAGGCCCGTGAGACTCGATACAGGAAGACAGGAGCATTTGCATCCACAGCCCACTTGTTTCCCAGGGCTGGCTGGCTGCTGCCCTCATGTGCCCTGTCTCTCTCAGGTTTGGGGACCACTTTGAGTGGAACAAGGTGACGTCCTGTATTCACAACATCCTGAGTGGCCAGCGCTGGATTGAGCACTACGGAGAGGTGCTTATCCGAAACACACAGGATAGTTCCTGCCACTGCAAGATCACCTTCTGCAAGGTAGGCGGGTGTCCCCCCCCACCCCCACCCCGACCCGCCTCTCCACCCTGGGGGAAGCGGGGAGCCCCTCACTCAGGCCCTGCCTTCTCCGCCCTAGGCCAAGTACTGGAGTTCCAACATCCACGAGGTACAAGGTGCGGTGCTCAGCCGGAGTGGTCGCGTCCTCCACCGCCTCTTCGGGAAGTGGCATGAGGGGCTGTACCGTGGCCCCCCACCGGGTGGGCAGTGCATTTGGAAACCCAGTAAGTGGGGTATCCAGGGAGGGTCGGGGAGGGTGAGGATGGCTGCGATACAGTCCACCTGCCTCAGCCCCTTGCCTCCCCCAGATTCGATGCCCCCAGACCATGAGCGAAACTTCGGCTTCACTCAGTTCGCCTTGGAGCTGAATGAGCTGACGGCAGAGCTGAAGCGGACACTGCCTTCCACCGACACACGGCTACGGCCTGACCAGAGGTCAGTGCCGGGCCGACCTCCCCAGGAACTCCTTAAAATGGGGACGGGGCAGGGGCCTCAGCTTTGGGGACCCCCCTGGCTAGCCAGCGCGCTGACTGACGCCCGGATCATCAGGTATCTGGAGGAGGGGAACATACAGGCCGCTGAGGCCCAGAAGAGGAGGATAGAGCAGCTGCAGCGGGACAGGAGGAGGGTGATGGAGGAGAACAACATAGTGCACCAGGCGCGCTTCTTCAGGTGCTTCAGCCCCGCCCGCCCGCCCGTCCGCCCCTCTGCGTCCCCCTGCAGCCCGGGTCCCCCTGCAGCCCCGCTGGCTCCTCACTACCCGCTTCGGCTTTGACTAGGGTGATTGTGGGAGGCATGGGACCTGCCTGCCTTCTACCGTCCTAACCCACACCTACTGCCGCTCTCCCCCCAGGCGGCAGACGGACGGCAGCGGCAAGGAGTGGTGGGTGACCAACCATACATACTGGAGGCTGCGCGCTGAGCCAGGCTATGGGAACCTGGATGGCGCTGTGCTCTGGTAGCCCTGGCCTCGGGGCAGGAGACTCTGGGTCCTTACTCCTGCCCCCACTCCTACCGTGGACATCTGGGTGAGGTCAGGCTCCTGCTCACTGCCCTTGAGGGCAAAGGGGCCGCCCAGCCTCCCGCCCTCTCCCCTCTGCTGGCCAGAGGGGCTGTATCTCAGCACACTCCCATTCCACCATTGGGGTGGAAGTGGGAATCTGCTTCCCAGTCTTGTTACCCCAGCAGCTGGCATGTCAGACCCCGCTCGCTCAGCCATCCTCCTCATCTGGGAGTGTTTCGGGGAGATGCCAGGTTCCTCAGATTTGCTCCCCGTTTTAGTGCCTTCCTAGGACACAGGGGGCCCCCTTGATGCTACCCAGACTTTCTGTGCCCAGAGCGCTGGCCGTGCTGCAAGGTTGAGTGAAGGAGAGGAGATGCCCTTCTTCCCCTCTGTCCTCTCTTCAGCATCTTCCCTCTGCCCTGACCCGCCCCTTGTCCTGCATCCCCTTCTCCAAAACTGCAAAGCACCTGCCGCTCCCAGCGCCTCCAGCCCAGGCCCACGACTGGTCCCTTCAGGCTCAGCTCAGCAGATGCCCCAGAGTGGACGAGCCTCTCCAAGAGGTGTGGAGCAGGCTGAGGTGCCTGGCCTCAGACTCACCCAGGAAGGAGGGAGCCAGTGTGAGTTTGTGTAGGTGTGTGTGTGTGTGTGTGTGTGTGTGTGTGTGTGTGTGTGTCCTGCTCGCCGGCGAGCAGGATTCCTAATGTAGCCAGGACACCCCCGCTGCTGGTGTCTGCCACTGTTGCTGCTCATTTTCTCAGTTTGCCTGAGTCAGGTGAATTGCTAGAACATTCCAAGCTCCAATAAAGACTGTCCTACTCTTTGGCCTGTGTCACTGATTGAAAAATAGAGTTCTGGGGAAGGCTCCTAGGCACTGCTGTGTGTTGACTCCTGTCGCTCCAAAAGGTCTGTTTCCAAAGGAGTAGGGATGTAGTGCAGGGGTAGAGCGCTTGCCTATCATGCAGAAGGCCAATCCTGGGTTCAGTCCTCAGCACTGACCAAGGACTGGGGAAGAGCTTGACGAAAGTTAACTTATTTGGGCTACCAAGATGGCTCAGAGAGTGAAGATGTGTTGCCTTGCCTCTGATAACCTGAGTCAGATCCCTGGAGCCCATGCAAAGGTGGAGCGAGCTGACTCCACAAAGTTGTCCTCTATCATACATGTGCCATGGCGTGCACACACACACACACACACACACACACACACACACAATGTTCCTTGTTCCTGAAACTGTGCTCTTATTTGGAAGCAGGGACTTGGCAGATTCAACTGGTTCCTTGTGAGAACAAGGGAAGCTGGGCATGGTTGGGCACAGGGAAGAGCGCTATGGCAAACGGGTCATCTGGGAGCATGCCCTCTGGGAGGTGGGCAAACGGGCTGGACGCCCCCACAGCCAGGAAGGTCTAGAATGCTGTAAGCCAGCAGAAGCAGAAGACAGCTCTGAGCCCCTGAGAAGGAGTGGGCCCTGCTGACATACCGGCTTTCAGACCTCTGGCCTCAGCTGTGTGTTTTGTTTGCCTGGTTTTTGTATGTGCATGGTCATGTGGGGGGGTGTCTGTATGGTGTGGGTGTGCACACGGGTATTTTCATGTGGAGATCAGAGGACAGCCTCGAGTGTCCTTTCTCTGGCACCTTCCATCTTTTCGTTTGTTTGAGACAGGGTCTCTCGATGGCCTGGGATGTCACTAAGAAGGGTGTAGGCTAGCTGGCTGGTGAAGTCCATGACATTCCCGGTATCCATCTTCCATCTTGTCAGTGAGATGACAACATGCATTTTCATAGGGTTCTGGGAATCCAAACTCAGGTCCTGGGCACTTGAGAAGCAAGCAATTTAGTTACTGACCTATCTGTCGTCTGTCTCTGTCGTCTGTCTGTCTCCTTTCTCTGGGTGTGTCTCCAGTTTGTGTCATTGAGACAGAGTGTTTATACTGTACCCCGGCTCCCTGGACCACCTATGTAGCCCAGCCTGGTCTTGAACGTTCAGTGTCCAGCAACCCCTTTGCCTCAGCCCCCTGCACTGCCGTTACCTGAGCCACCACACCCAGCTGCAGGCTGATGTTTCAGAAGGAGCATGTTTCATGCTTTTAAAATGCCCTCACCCGCTGGGCGGTGGTGGCACATGCCTTTAATCCCAGCACTGGGTAGGCAGAGGCAGGCAGATCTCTGTGAGTTCGAGGCCAGCCTGGTCTACAGAGCAAGATCCAGGACAGCCAGAGCTACACAGAGAAACTCTGTCTTGTAAATAACCAAAAAAATAAAAAATAAAAAATAAAAAAATAAAAGCCCTGTCACCTCCTGGTTCCCAGAAGCCGCTGTTTGGCTGAAACAGAGGTCTCGGTCCACGTTCGGACCCTCCCTTCTCCCTCGGGGCTTCTTTGAGGAATTCTGGGAATCAGCTTGGCCTCTCACTTTCTCCTTCCTCTCTTCCACCCCCATTCCACTGTAACAAGAGCCCCCAAGTCCTCCTCTGTGTAGGCAAGTGTCCCAAGAGGAAGTTCCCGGGGTGCCAAGATCAGGAGACCCTGAACTGTGGCGACTTCTGATCACAGGTTTTTTCTCCTCTTCTCTGGGCTCAAGGAAGAGTGCAATTCGCCTTTCTAGGGGCTTTTGGTGGTGGTGGAGGATTTTGTTTGGATCTGTTTTAAGAGATGTTCTACTGTTGCCAAGGCTGGCCTGAAACTATGTAGCCCAGGCTAGTCTCGAACTCAGAGCACCCTCCTACCTCAGCCTACCAAATATTGGTATTACAAGCAAAGCCGCTGTGCCTGGCTTTTGACTGTGTGGTGGTCATTTGCTCAGTTCTGTTTTGCTGTTGTCCAATTAGACAGTTCTGCTGTATGGCCTGGCCTTGAACTTGTGATCCTCCTGCCTCACATCTCCAGTTTATTTATGGAGACTATTAACATGAGCACACTTGACCTAGCACCATATGCCAGAAATAACTTCAACCCATCCCCCAAGCCAGCTGAAGCCTACATACATCAGGACCTTTTTATAACTGCGAGCACACCCTCCCCCCCCCATCCCTGCAGAGCAGCAAGAACCCCAGGAGGACCAGCCTGGGCTCACCCTCCCCCACACAGCCAAAGGGCTGGAGACTGAGATAGACCCAGCGCTAAATTCCCTGCAGACACGGGGACCAGGCCCTCCATGGCTTTTGTCATCTCCACTGTCCCCTCTCTCAGTCTGACGCAGGTCCCGGGGGGGGCATAGGGCAAGGAGATAAGATTGTGGCCATTTCTGCTGGTTCCACATTCCCTTCCGAAAGGCTCTTCTCTTTCTTTTTCAGTTGCCTTTGGAGACGGTGTTGCTGTGTACCTCGGCCTGGACTTCAGCTTGCAGTCCTCTGGCCTCGGCCTGCCAAATGCTGACAGGCACGGCAGCCTCAGAATTGAGCTATAGTGGGGCTTCCCCACCCCCTCTTTTGAGACAGGGTTTTGTTCGATAGCCCAGGCTAGCCTTCTCCTCAAGGCAGCCCTACTCTCAGCCTCTCAAATGCCGAGCAATAGGTGTGTGGAACTACACCACCCCGATCCAGCCAGGGTCTGGTGGGCTGGGAGGCTCAGGCTAGCTCAAGGAAAGTTTGGCTCCTGGATGGGCTCTGTGGACAGTGTCAGGGGCCCAGGACAGCCATTCAGATGGAGGGTGAGTGTCTTTCCTCCAACAGGAAGGAGGGGTGGCCTCCACGCTCAGGCTCCTGTCAGTCTGGTCAGGAGGCCCTCTTAACGGCTGGGCCTCAGGGCAGACCTGAAGATTTGACTGGCTGGAAGACACGGCCAGTCAGGGCAAAGAGGATGAATGTGGACTTAATGATCTAAAATCTTGACTCGGCTGGAAGCAAAGCTGTGAGTTAGGTCAGGCCCGGCCCACGGATGGACGACGGGGAAGAGAGGAGACTGGCCATCGGGGACATGCCTGGGCAAGCCACTGGAGAGGGGGGAAGACAGGTACAGGGGGTCAGCACCACCTTGGGACTTCCAACCCCACACAGCTTTGCCCGGAGACACGTTTATCATTTTAAATTTAGTTACTGAAGAGATGATGGAGGTACCTCAATTGCACTTGGGGGGGGGGGGAATGCCAAAAGTATCCTAAGTGGAAGGGATGCTTAATTACATGGTAATTCCAAATCAGTGGCGCCAAAGCCTTCTGGTGCCAGGACAGGGTCTGGTGCACCCCGGGTCCTCCAAATGAAGACTCTGTCTCCTGGAAGAATGGCGGCGGCGGCGGTGGCGGCGGGTGGGCTGAGCTATGCGAAGGGTGTGGGTGGGGGAATGAACTGCAAGGGCTGGGACAGGGCTGGAAAGAGAAAGAGCAGAGACAATACTGTACACACACACACACACACACACACACACACACACACACACACACACACACACACGGTGCAATTCTCCAAGAATCCTCAAGAGGGCGCCTGGCACTCTAGAAAAGAGCAATTCCGCCACACACTGAGTCCCAAAGTACTCCAAGCTGAGACCAGCACTGCTAAAGGACAGTAACCGAAACTACAGACAGCCCACATTCCTACGAATGCCCAGTCAGACCACTTCTGCCCTGTCCCAAACCAGAGCACTCAAGAGTTAGGAAAGCTCTTGGTCTTGTAGGCAGGGGTGACCCCAACCACATCCAGAAGCTGCAGGAGGGTAGTTAGGGCCCCTCAGTGCCAGTAACGGGGCTCTGGGGCAGCTGTACCAGGGACCTTCCACCCATGGGGCCCTCAGAAGAAGACTCTCCTCTAAGTTAGATGAACAACTTTCCTGAGCCACAGAACCCGTCACATACTGGGATTGGGACCCTAAATTGAACCTTGTACCTTAGTTTTGGACTTTCTTTTGGGAAGGCAGATAAAGCAGGACATAGTTCCGCTCCAAGAGTGCTCCAAGTTAACCAGACTGTTAGGTCACAGTCTCTTGCCCCAGCCACCTTAACAGGCTACGCTTGGCCACTCATCCCCCCCCCCCCAATACACCAATGGAAGGGATGAACAATGGGGGGATGGGGGGGGATCTAATCAGTGCACACACTGAGAAACAGAACAAAGTGCTCCAGCGACCCCCAAGTTCAACTTCATGAACTGACATGAGCTTTTTTGGGTTAAAACAGAAGAATTGGGGATCGAGCAAGATGTATGCACAGCTAAGCCTTCCTAGCCAAGGTGGCCTAGCTGTGGATGAGAAGTCCTCATCGCCTGAGGGGACAATCTGATCTTCCGGAGCTAATTACTCTGACTCCAGGTGCTGCGTCCCTATGGCGGTATATAATTGCCCTTCTCGGGGACCTCATGGGGTCGTGCTCTGCCCTTCAGGGCTCTGCTGTTCTCAGAATCTAAGCTGTACTGCAGGTTTGGAATGGTGGTGGGAGACCATTAGGCGCCTTTTGGGTCTGGAACAAGACAGTGTAAGATGCCTGAGTGTTCTTATCTTTCTGCCTTAGGCCTTGAGGAAGAATGAGGTTAGGTGTGACCTGTTTCTAGAGGACAGTTCCTGAGAGATAAAGGAGTCCACTCCAGAGGTCATCAGATAATCCTGAGGAAAGGTCACAAGAAGACTCCAGACTTTCATTCTTCTAGTTACCTGTGAACCCAAAGAGTGTTTTTTTGTTTTTTTTTTTTTTTTTTTTGTGTGTGTGTGTGTGTGTGTTTCTGTTTTTTGCAAAAGTTGTTTCAAGGTACTTGTACAAAGAAGATCCCAGCTGTAAAGATGGGAGTTGAAGCGGGACAGAAATGGACCCCTGCACCATCATTACCCTGTCAACTTCATCCGTCACACTCTGGGTTGGATGTAGCTGGAGTCTGTAGACCCCCGTGCCAGGTGTCTGCA